CCTCCCCCTCCCGCCCTCTCTCCTCCTCAGGAACGATCGACCCTTCTCATTGCACCCCCATTCCCGCACCCCTTTTCAATTTGTTAAATAACGATCACAACCCCCCATACCTTTACCGAACCAGCCAACTGTAAATTTCCGCCGCACGATCGCCGTAAAGTAATCAATCGCACGAGCAAAGGACGTTCCTTCTCGATTGACCCATCTATTGATATTGATTGGGGGACAGGTGACCAAACAACAACTTACAACGTTACAGCCTATAGGTGATACCGGCGAGATCCAACTGGTTTGTTTGATGTACCTATTGGAAGTCAGAGGACCCATGGTACCTGCCTAACCCGAAAGGGAACTACCGTCTTCCCCCAAACATAACGCACCCTAAAAATGAATGTATACAAGCTATATTTCCGGACATATACAGCCAAAATAAGGGTGCGTTGTGTTCGGGGGAAGACGGTAGTAGTAACAGGAAAGCACTGACAATCTCATCAGTAATCGGGAAGGAGTCTATGCACCTGCACAACGCAGATTTCATTCTACGAAATAAAGACAACTCCCGCCTAGGGGGAATTTAACATTGGATCTTTGGACTTCAAGTTTTCGAAATCGTGGCGGACGACTTTTTAATATTATATACATCGTCAAACAAAGCTGCCCGGTAAACCGTAGGCAGAGAGAGAGAAGAGGACAACAAACGAGGGGCTGTGACAAACTGTTTCGTCGGAGTTTCACATGTGTATATATAATGTATATATAAATGAGTCGGTGAAATACATACATTATATATACACATATATATACGACGATCGGGGGCTGTGACGAACTGTTTCGTCGGAGTTTCATGTATATATACAATGTATATAATGTATATATAATGTATATAATGTATATATAATGTATATAATGTATATGACACCGACGAAACAGCTTGTGACAAACTGTTTCGTCGGAGTTTCACCGAATCATATATATTACATTATATATACACGTGTATATATAATGTATCTATATATATATGAGTCAGTGAAACTCCGAAACAGCTTGTCACAGCCCCTCGTTTGTTCTCCTCTACTCCCTCTCTGCCTACCGTTTACCGGGCAGTTCTGTTTGACGATATATATAACTATGCATTTATTCGTGACATTCGCCGATATATTGATTGCTTGTTTGGTTGTTCTCTCTCTCTCTCTCCCTCTCTCTCTCTCTCTCTCTCTCTCTCTCTCTCTCTCTCTCTCTCTCCAGTTACCCCATATTGATATATATATTCAGTATATATTCTATATACTCTATATATATCGTCACAAACAGAACTGCCCGGTAAACCGTAGGCAGAGAGAGAGAAAAGGACAACAAACGAGGGGCTGTGACAAACTGTTTCCTCGGCGTTTCACCGACTCATCAGGAGGCTGAACCCTCAACAGTCTGCAGAATCCCCTCACTGATTACACTGTAAATGATAATCTACCTTAACCAAAATCGAAGTAGACTATCACTCACCCACATATATATAGTCATCTGATTCACAATGTGACAATATATATAGTCATATATATAGTCATTGAGAACTGCCGGAAGAACCGTAGGCAGAAAGGACGAAACGGACAAGAAACGGGGGACATGTAACAGACTGTTTCTGCCTTCGGAGCTTCAGCTAACGAGCCAGGACGACTCCTGCTAATATCAACCAGACGATCTGAGGGATGGTAATCAAATGAAGAAGGTTGAAGAGATGATTCTGTTCGATCCGTTTGTTAAATTCGACATTCCAATATAAAAAGAAAAAACGCAACAAAAAAGGCCCAGGTTGCGTAGTACAAATGAACAAGAACATTTCCCTCCTTACTTCACTTTTCCCCCTCTTGTAGTAAGCAAACAAGAACATTAGTTTTTTCCTTTTTTTTCCCGCTTTTTTTTTTTTTTCAGTTCCCGAGGGAGGCGTACAAGCCACTTCTCAATGCATTTATACGTCCCCCTCAGATCCCTTCGCCAAACTCTCTCTGACCTGCCTCCCTGCGACCTGAGGCGATGAAATCGCATGAAATCGAGACGATATACACTTTCTGACGACAAGACAGCTCTGACCTGCCTCCCTGCGTGGGTGTGAATGCAGCACTCTCTCTACTACAAACTGCAAATTGTTAAACAACAGGTCACAGGTTCAAATCCTTCTTTTTTTTTCTTCTTTTTTTTTCCTTTTTTAAACACACCCCACAGGACACAGATTCAAATCCTGGACAATTTCAAAACAATATGCGAGATCAAAATAAGGGAAAGGACAAACGGGCTTAGCTCACTTGGTAGTAGTTGGTACACCCATAAACTGGGTGTACCAAGATGGAACCCGATCCGGTTCCATCGTGAAATACAGACCTGAGTTCGAATCAAGATATAACCCGATCAACGAAATTCCTGAATTACGTGGCGCCGCTTAGTTTTATGATATCTCAAGGCTGTCGCCCTTAACACAATTAATAAGGCGGGGGGGGCGCGGGGGGGGGGGGAGGGGAGGGGAAGGAAAGGTCGGAGGAGGGGGGAAGGATAGGCGTAGGAGGCGGGAGAGAAGGGGAGACAAGCGATAGAATGAGAAAGTACACCACGCACGACGAAATGAGTGTCGATGGAGAGGAACTAGCCGCCTGAATGCGGCTGGCAGGAATTTCCTTTTTTTTTTTTTTTTTTTTGGTTTGGTCCGATGGACCAGGGATCAGGCATTGAACGGATCAGAACAAAATTTCGTACTGCGCTTGATTGATCTTACTTAGCCAAAACCCGAGAAAGGTATAAGGCGGGAAATTGTTAGTTTAAAAAGACTGAAGAGATGAGAGAGATTATTAGATCATGTAATTTCTCTCGAAGCAAGCGGGAGATGGCGAGGAGGAGGAGGTGGGGTGCAATTTCCTCGCTTGCTCTTCTGGCATCTACAAGGGGCATCGATTTGCATGCCTAGACATAGCATAAATAGACCAAAAAACGATCTGGACTTCGGAGGGGGGGGGGGGGATGGTTTCGACACGAACTGTTTGTTTAGAGTCGTCAAAAAAAAAAAAAAAAAGTTTGGACTGAGTTTGGCTTACTACTCACTCACGTGTATGAACGCTACGGTAGTCTATCTTCCGCCGCCCCACCCACCTTAAAAAGCAAGCTACTCTATCATGATGATTTCAATACACCAGTGGAAAATGGAGCTAAATTCAGCTAATGAAAGAAAAAGAAAAAAAGTCATTAAAAAAAGTCATTTAAAAAAGAAGTCGTTAAAAAACAGTCATTAAGAAAGTCATTAAAATAATCAAAAAGTAAAAAAAAAAAAAAAAGAAAGTCAATCAAGTCAAGAATTTTTTTTTCTTAGAAGGTCAAAAATAAAAGTCAAACAAAAAGATCAGGGAAAACAACAACAACAAAAAACAAAAAAAAACAAAAAGCAAGGGAGGAAGAAAGTTCAGCGCTTTGCTCGCTCACTTGCCTTCCAGCATCTTCCGGACTGAATTCGACGTCTTGACAGCCCAGACTCCTCGCGTATGCAACCATCTCCGTCGCGATCTGGACCACCTCGTCGGGAGTTTTCCTCAACTTGTACTCCATGTGAATGGGGCTCGTCGCTATAAACGTGTGGATGCGCGGTCGAAGCGCGTGCTTAACTGCCTCCCAAGCCGCGTCGATATCCGCTTTGTTGGCGCGCGCCAGTCCGCAGATGACAGGCACGTATCCATTCTCATCCACGTGGTTACCGACTTCCCGCGCAATTGATCGTACGGCCTCCAAATCGTCGGGGGAAGCGATCGGAAAGCCACCCTCGATAATGTCGACACCGAGTTTCGCTAACAGCCGAGCGATTTCAAGCTTCTGCGGACTTGTCAATTTGGCGCCAGGCGATTGCTCTCCATCTCGAAGGGTAGTGTCGAAGATGCGAACGTAATTAGGGTCGTCTATCCGATTAGGAATGTAGGGAGGGCGCTTACTACTAGGAGAGGAGGAGGGGAGGGGGGGAATGGTGGAGGGAGTGTGATTGCCAGGGGCGGGGGCAACCTGGTCACGTGGCGGCGTGGCACCGTTGCTGGCGACAGGTGAGCTGCGCCGCCGAGTGGGAGAACTGCGAAGCCGTCCGCCGACCAGTCGGATGAATGACTGCCCGCGGAAAAGGGAGTTCCTTCTCCAGGCGCCGACAGCCGCCACGTGTCCGCCGTCCGTGCACAGGGCCGCGTCCCAACCGACAGATCGAGAGATCTGACGCTGCAGCGGCGCGCCCAGCGCCAGACGTGGATCGCCACCTGTCAACCCCCTGGCGGCGGAACTCGCGCCGGCAACATTGGCGGTGGCGGCGGCGGCGGCGCAAGCGTGCCTGCTCACACACGCGGCCATGGCTCCCCGCGCCACTCCGGGGTGCCCTCGAACACACGCGGCCGACTACGACGGAAGAGAGAGATAGGACCGCCGGCTCTCCCGCTTCGCCTCCCTCCTGCTTTTGCACGTCAACGACACTCCCGGGATCGATGCTCGAAAAGCCTTCCTCGCCCTCCTCCTCGCCCTGCTCCTCGTCTCCCCACCGTCGTGCTCGTTGCTCTGCACTGCAATCAACCGATTGCCATCGCCGTTTTCGTATTTACTACATTCTGCGTTCTTTGAGAACAGCAAGGAACAGAATCGTCACAATAGCACGGGACAAAACAGTCAGAATAGCACGGAATGGGAATATAGGGCCTCCGATCCCCACGTCTGCCTCTGGGGGCGTCCTCACATTGGTACACTTTCCGTCACATGCTTGTCTGCACGCGTGTCCGTGCGCGCCTGCGTGTGCGTGTGCGTGTGCGCGCCTGCGTGTGCCTGTGCCTGATCTATGTGTGTGTGTGTGTGTGCCACCGTAGATTTCTGCGCGTGTGTTTAGGACCGTTGATGTGCGTGCCTCTCGTGTGCTACCGAAAAGCTGTGCGCACTCGCGTGCTACCTGAAATTTATGGGACCTGAAATCTATGGCCTCGCTCCACTACTCACCGAATGTGCAAAATGAGAATGAATCTTCGCCCAGAACGAGGAACTATACACCGCCATGTTTTTTGTCTTTTGTGCATGTGGTGAGTAGTGGAGCGAGGGCCTATATGTGCGTTTCTGTGCCAGAACGGAAGGGGTTGGTTCCACTGCCCTACAGACAAGCAGCGTCAGCGCTGCAGCCGGACTTTTCGTTACATCAACGCCTGAGGTGAAGTATAGGGCCTCGCTCCACCACTCATGACATCCGCAAAAGACAAATTATTATTGGGCCTGCTTGGTACTTCGAAAATTTTGGATTATTATTGGGCCTGCTTGGTTACATCAACGCCTGCTTGTCATCCTTCGGGACATCCGTTAAAATTGGAACGATACAGAGAAGATTAGCATGGCTTCTGCAAAAGCCAAAAACAATTATGGCGTTGTCTCTCTTCATCATATTCTCATTTTGCACATTTGGCGAGTAGCGGAGCGAGGCCCGTAGCCACGTGCCATTCTAATGCAGGGGAACGAAGCCCATAGCCAAGGACAGAAGAGGGGTTGTGGGTCAGGGGCTTACCCCTCATTTGGTAACGTACTAAGCTGCATCAGGGGGGTCGCGCAGATGCTCTATGCCTGACCATGTGGAGATAAGCCATTGGCCCCAACAGCTATTACTAGCATAGCAGGACCTTAGCCAATATTGTTGTCTATTAGATTGACTCCCCGTGAGAGCACGGGTGCGCAACCCGTAGTTTGTATGTTGTTGTGGTTGTCTCATTTACGGGAACATTCACTGGCACTGCTCCTAGAATTGGTTCTGGTTCCTCTCCTGGAACTGCTGAATTTCAAGATTAGCAGTGGTGCCAAAGGCGGTGATGGCGAAAGGGGCGGCACCGTAGCGGTCAAGCCTCGTGACGTGTTGCGCTAATTCTCATCAGGGTTTCTTCAATAGAAGTGGAGCTTGGAAGACATAGCCCTTCTTCGATAGAAGCGGAGTTTATATGCCATAGCCTGGAGCGCTTAGCACGGGCGAGGCGTGTCATGAAGCCATCAAGTTTCATAGGAACTTTAGCAACAGCGACGTGGACTTGTCCTTGGCGTTGTGGACAGGTGGTGGGCCCATCAGGGGGGGAGACTGGGTTATAAAAATCGTCTACCGCGTGGGCACGGGGAACGCAGCCCTAAGGTAACCAAAGCAATGAGACTAAGAGCGCGCGCAAGAGAGAGAGAGAGAGAGAGAGAGAGAGAGAGAGAGAGAGAGAGAGAGAGAGAGAGAGAGAGAGAGAGAATCCTGCATCCTTTCAAAGAGTTAATATAGGTGATACTATAATAGTGTCTTTGAAATGGGTCACAACACTCAGAATGTGCTTAAATTGAATATATCAATAATAACTAATATATAGAATTAACTGAATAAATATCTAATGTAATGATTGTAATGGAATAAATCTGATTCTATTCTATGAAATAAATAATATATAATATCTCTAATTAAATAGAATAATAATTTATTGTAGAGATATGTAAATTTTACATTATGACTTAAATAGAAGAGAGAAGCCATAATGGGGAGGAGTGTGCGTGAGTCTCTCATGTATTCCATTTGACTTGCCGGGAGAATAGGAATCGGACTGTCGTTCCCCATAATGGTAGGAGCCAGAACCAAGAGGTCCTGTTTAGAAAAAAAAACAAAAAAAAAAACTATGTGTTTGTATTTGTATTGTAACTTAAGAGAAAGTTTTTTCGTAACGAATGACCCTCAAAACCATAATATGTTAATATACGACGTAAATCAAGATGGTTGAAAAAATACACAACAAACATATCCCATACTTCTCGTTCCCACCAACCAACTGCCGGAAATATTTTGACTACTGCCCCGCCTGACTGGCCCTTTTATATGATAGATCTCATATCATATATATCCCTTATGAGATTTGAACCCGTGTCTTCACCATTAAAAAGTGATGTCCTATACCCCTAGACGAAAGGGACGAATGAATGTGTTTGTAGCTCAATTGGATAGAGCACCAAACTACGGATTTGAGGGTTGAGAGTTCAAGTTTGTCCAAGCATGGGCCTATAACTCAGTTGGTTAAAGTATACACCTGATAAAACTTACTTTTTTTTCTTATAATTTCGTTGAAGAATAAGGGTTATAGCTCAACGGTAGACCGTCTCGTTTACACGTGCATTAATGTGTTTAAGCAATGGAAATCGGTGCATTCGATCTAATAATAGATATCCGATGTAGCAAAGATTATTTCTTACTTATAAATTTTTATTTGGGCAAAGTACAATATTAATGTTTAATGTTATCAATCTTTGTACATGTTATACATATTTCGTATAAATCCGATAATAGTGTTCTTCTTAGTGTAATTCCTAAGGTATTAGCTTGTCCTATTTTTAGAGGAGCAATAACAAAACGAGCCCTCTGCACCATTCGAAAAGAGATTCGAATGGTTCACCGATTCCACCGTATGCTCTCATCTTTTTTATTTTCATTTAAGATTTTGAGTGAAGATAGGGAGACTTTACGTTCACCCATAAGAGTCTGAGTCAATCAATTCAATATGTAAATAGCGAATATAGATTAAAGGTAAATTGTCTGCCTTCCAAATAGGGGATATGGGTTCGATTCTCGTTATCTGCAATTGTGATTTGATGGAAAAAAAACTGAGATGTTTCATTTATTATTACGAGTGAGAGAGAGAGACAAAGAGTGTGAAAAAGAAAGAAAGACAGATAGAGAGAGAGGGAGAGGGGGGGGGT